CAGCAGGGGGATACACAGAGAAACCCTGTTTCAAAAAACAAAACAAAAAAGAAAAGGGTTTTAAAGGATAATAACATGGTTCTAGGCAAGGTCAGACCTAGAAAAAAGGATGCACTGAATTAGGTCCTTTCGATCACCTATCATATGGTATTATTGATTTTGATTTGTTGTTTTATTTGTTCACGGTGTGTCTTATTTGTGTATTCTTGATTGGAACCCATATTATCATCCTACAACCTGAGATGGAACTTTCAGCTAACTGCCACCATGGGCCACTGACAGACCTTTCAATGGGGGCCTACCTACTGTTTGTATTCTGTACCCCTCCCAAAGTCATTTAGGGCCACCTGTCCTAAGGAGGGATTGAGACCGGAATAGTGTGAGTCAGGCAGTTAGGGCCCGCGTAAGACTCTGGCACCAACCATGTGAAAACGCCAATGCCATCACAGCTGCTCCGTGGATCAAAGCCCCTCTGCCCACAGGTGCCCCATGAATCAAAGACAGTTCCATAACTATACTATTTCATGGAGGGGTTCTAGTGCCATTAAGGAAATATGGCATCTGGTGCAGGAGCAGAGGAAAAGTCATTCCCTATTGTTTTCTTGGTTCTGTAACTGTTTAAAAGCTCATGGCCCTTGACGCTCGAGCAGTGTCCTCTCTAGAAACCTCTCAGGATTCTGTCTCTGTCTCTGCATCTCTCTCTCATTATTGATTGAGTGTCTGAGAAGACCAGGTCTCTGTAGCACAGGCTGTCCTGGAACTAGCTATGTAGATCACCCTGGCCTAGAACTCTGGCAGCCTTTATTCCTAGGGTTGTAGTTAAAGATGTACACGGCTATATCCAGCTTTTCCTTCTTTCTGATTCATGGTGTTAATCCAAGTGTTCAGCTCTGGAGTCCCCAGGCTTCATTTCTTGCCTTTGTAGGACACAATACTGCAGCTTGCAACTGTAACCACTGTAGCTCACTATTACAAGTGGCTTCAAGTGACCTGACCCCAAGACAAGGCCATCTTTGCTGACTTAAGAAATTCAAGGCCGGAATTCTGGGAAGGAGGAAGCCCATTCCTCCCCAGTCCTGTCCCAACCACAGAAGAAGGAAGATGTGATTGCCCCACTGAAAAAGGTACTAAGCCATGTGTGGCTAACATAGATAAGAATAATGGGTTGATATGTTGTAAGAGTTAATAAGAAGGGGGCTGGAGAGATGGCTCAGCGGTTAAGAGCATTGCCTGCTCTTCTAAAGGTTCTGAGTTCAATTCCCGGCAACCACATGGTGGCTCACAACCATCTGTAATGAGGTCTGGTGCCCTCTTCTGGCCTGCAGACGTACACACAGACAGAATATTGTATACACGATAAATAAATAAATAAATATTTTAAAAAAGAGTTAATAAGAATCCTGAGCTACGGGGGCTGGAGAAATGACTCAGAGGTTAAGAGCATTGCCTACTCTTCCAAAGGTCCTGAGTTCAATTCCCAGCAACCACATGGTGGCTCACAACCATCTGTAATGAGGTCTGGTGCCCTCTTCTGGCCAGCAGGCATATACACAGACAGAATATTGTATACATAATAAATAAATAAATATTTAAAAAAAAAAAGAATCCTGAGCTAATGGGTCAATCAGTTTATCATTAAAAAAAAAGAAAAGAAATTCAAGGCCAACTCCTAGAGATCCGCCTGCCTCTGCCAGATATGGAGACAGTCCCCTCAAGCTTTCATCTTGGTGAATTCAAAAGCCACTCTATAGATACATGCACACACACACACACAAACACAGGCACATCCAGAGTCCAGAGACACATAAATAAATTTTGAAATTAAGGGCCTGGAGAGATGGCTCGGTGGCTCTTCCAGAGGAAGTGGGTTCAATTCTCAGCACTCTCATGGCAGCTCATAAGTGATTGTAAATCCAGTTTCTGGGTGATCTGACAATTCACACTGTTGCATGTAAAATAAAGTTAAATAAATCATGAAAATAAAACCATACAAACAAACAAACCCAAATGGTTAGCCTGTTCAGATTGATTAGTCTCTTCAGATAAGTCACTGTGCTTTGCAATCAATGTCTGGCCTATAATAATATAGGGGCTCAAAGAGTGTTGAAGAAATAGATGTCCCAGATCACTTGACAGTGAGGGATGGCGTTGGAAGGGGGTTTAGTTTTAATCACTAGCTCTAACTGCTCCTTTCCGTTTAGGTCAGAATGAGCACCTGCAGGAGGTGGCTGGAAGATGGTGGGGGCGTGTCAGAGTTGGCTTTAGCTAATGAAGGGGCCTTGTTCCTCTGAACACCAGGACAATACCTGGGAGAAAGCATCGCACTCTCAGTTTAGCGACACAGAACCAGGACCCAGCTCTGCTGAACAGAGGCGCAAACTGATTCAAGATTCCTGCACCGGTTCCCCGCTTTGTCCCGGGGCGGCCCCACGAGCCTCCAGCGGGACAGCAGCCTGGGCGGCCGCGCAGCGCCCTCTAGTGTCCCGCGGCCACCCTGCGGTCGGGCCGCGACGCCCGCTGGAGACTCCCGCTTCCCGCGGCTCCGGTCCCGTGCGGGTTCCCAGGCGAGGTGGGGGTGGGGAGGGGGAGCTGATACGGAGGAGGCGGGAGGCGGGACTCAGTGGGAGTGTCTCCGAGAAACTCGCGGCCTTCGGCGGCTTCCCGGCCCGGGAAGTGAGCCCGGGTCGGCGACCACAAACAGGAAGTCCGGGCTGTAACAAAGAGCAGAGGGCGGGGAGCCGCTGAGCTCCGGGGCGCCCGGCGGTGGCGACAGGTGGAGGGCTGACCCCGACGGGCAGCCAGGCGCACCTGACTCTTCCGTTGCCCGATCAGACCCGACCCGGGACACCCTGGGACGCGAGAGGCAGTGGGCGCGGTTCCCCTGGGGGGACGGCCGCTGGGACCTCCCAGGAGCATCTCCTCCCTGGGAAGAGACAGTCACAGTTCCCTGAGTGAATCACTTCCATCTCCTTCCCGGAATGCAGCAGGTCACACGGGGCGGAGGGCTGGGCCCGCAGATGGTGTAGACCCACGGGTGACAACACAGACAGGGAGAGGAAAGAGCTCACGGAGGGCTCTCTCTGGAGGGCCCCTGGCAGAAAGGTCACACTGGACTTGTTGAGTCCTGTGGCCTCGACTAGCCTGAGTGGAAGCGGGTAGGAACCGCTGTACCCTCTTCTGACCCCGGACTGGGTTCACTGTGACCTTGCCTGGGCAAGCCGAGGAAGGCACCACTGCCTTATTCATGGCCCCTCCCAACCCAGAGCTCAAGGATCTCCAGGTGGTCACCAGCCAACAAGCTCTGGAAAAGCAGCTGTCCTCAGGGCTGAAGGTCACCAGGAGGTCAGACTAATTCTTTAGACAGGACAGTCTGCTGAGGAACTTCTAAACTCTGAATTCTCTTTAAAGAGCATTTGCGAGGCTACTGAGAGTTCTTCACAGGGAGTCTGAGCTATAGTCTAATCTTGTTTGAATGCCAAGTCTCCTGGACACTTGAGTGATCTAGAGAGCCTTAAATACCTTGCCTCTGGGTATTTAAAACTGGGGAGGGGGCCAGTTTTCACTTTTGAGTTGTTAGGGAGTGGGCCCCGCATGGGCTGCAGGTTGGAGTACCCACGGAGCATACCACATCAAGTCCTTGCATGGGTTCCTACTCGCGCCAGGAAGTCAGGGTGATGTGTTGGGTGCTCGCGGCTCCCTGACTAGGATTTCAGAGGTGATAAATGGGTTGATCCAGCAACCAGGACCCCTCCGGGGCTCTTCTCTGACCATCTGGTAATGTAGCCCAGCCTGGTGGTGTGGACGTGCAGGCTTGCGGGTGTCCTACCTGTCCCCCACATGGGAGCCTCGTCATCTCGCCTTCTGTCCCAGCCCAGCTTCCCCCGCCCCCCAGAGCCTAGGAGCTGCTTTCCTGTTTCATTTTGGGCAGGAAGAATGAGGTCGTGTTGTTCTTCCCCCTGCTGTCGGCTCAGGCTGTGGGAACCGTTCCCTGAATGTCTTCCTGTTTGATACCCTGTGTGGGCAGTAGAGCAACAGAGAACGATGGCCAAGTTGTGGGACATGTGCATGCTCCCGGCACTCAAATAATCGCCCAGATCTTGGGTCACCATGCTGGAGTTGGGGGTGGGGGCAAGTTTGGATTCCACTAGGAAGGCGGCTTTTGGGTCTGTTTTGCTTTTGTGAGGAGGCTGAGAGCTGGGGACATCTGAGCAGCTTTTCCCTCATTTGGGGGTTGTTTTGGTTTTTTTTTTTTCATCATTTGCACATCATGGGGTATGTTTGTGGCTGCAGAGAGAGGATTGGCACCCTAGGGACTATCCTGTGCCTTAGAGGAAGCTGGGCATGGAGCAGATTGGAAATTCCCTTATTAGTGTCTCAGCCTGAGCAACCCGGACTGAGGAAAACTCTGACCCCCCACTCCTTGCAGCCTTATCCATCCCTTCAGCTCTGTCCAGCTGCCAGAAAGACAAACCCAGGGCAAATTCCCTACCCATCTTCATTCCAGACCAATCCCTCAGTCTTACTGAGAAAACAGCAGATGCCAGCAGGAGGAAGTACCCAGCGGGGACCTAACTCCTTATCTAATAAGAGAGTCCTTTTGAATAAATAATGAGAGAATCCTCCTCAATAGGAGAAAATCAGGCTCCCATGCTCCTTCTCGGGCTTGGAGAAAGGGAAATGAGTTTCAGGCAGGGGAAATATGGCCTCACGGACTGGGACTGGGGGCAGCATAAAGTGGGGTAGTGGCATCTGGTCTCAAAGCCACCAGGCGTAGAAGGTTGGCCCGGGGATGAGGTGGATAAGGGTAGGCTCCCCAAAGACCTGACTGAGACACTGGCCTTCCACATAACACACCAAAGCCCAGCATGCAGAGGCCCTCCGGGTTCTGGGAGGGCATTCAACAGCAAGAAGAGAAGGGGCTTCCGAATATTTGGGGTAGGAAGGCAGGGAGAAGAGAGGATTCCCACTCTCCCATTACAAAGACAGGACCCAAGCCGTAATAAATTCCTGTACACATCTGTTCCATATTATAAATACACATTATATACAAAATAATGTTATAAAATGTAGAAAGGTCAGTGCTTCTGATTTTTAAATTATCAAAATACTAGATTCCAAAATAAACTACAAAAAAAACACCTCATATTATTGATTTCTGAAGATCGGCTTCAAGGGTGGTCTGGGGCAGCAGTGGGCACTGACAGAGCCCAGGCTCAAGGGCACAGAAATGGGCACGAGGGAGGAAGGGGCCTAGGCCACAGCAGCACCCATGACCTCCCTCATTGGAATTTTAGCATAAAGGCCCTGAGCTCCCCACTTGGGGCTGAAACCGTAGCTGGCAAAGGGGCAGGCCCTAAGCCCATCTGTTCTCACAAGCCCCAAGGCACCAGGACCAGTGAGAGGTGATCTACCACCTTTGCCCAGAGGGTCTAGGCTCGGTGGCACCCCACACCATGTGGTTGGAGGCAAGAACCACTTCTCTACCTCGCCTGCAGGGTAGCTCCTGCCAAAAGCCAAATGCCATAGCTTTCGTGCCTACAGGAGGCAAATCCCTTCTCTCATTTGGGCCCAGCTGTCATGGCGGAGCCTGGGCGAAGGCACTTTGAAAACACAGATGCCCATTGGAGCCACAGCAGCTCCAAGACCTCCTGGGGCCACTGCTACTCTCTGAAGAACAGTCCAGAGCCCCGTGATGGTCGCTGCTGGCACAGCAAGGCCAAGTGGCACCTTAGATGTCAGCTCAGCAGGTGTTCCTCCAGCTCCTCGGCTCTTCCCTTGTTGGTGGGGCTGCCCACCTGAGGCCAGGCAGACTCCTGAAGGCATGCAGAGGTGGTGCGACTCTTGGCAGGTTCACAGTCTGTCCAGTTCATGCCATCCCCTCCTCCTCCTCCTCAGAGCAGCACTGTGCATACTAAAGACGTCCCATCCAGGGTGCAATGTAAACAATGCAGAAGGAAGGCCCAGCTGCGGGGCCAAAGCTGGGTGTCTGGGTAGGCTCGGGCCTTATACCTGGGGAGCATACACAAAACGGAAAGATGGTTGTCTTGGGAATAGGCACTGTCTCTGGGGATGCTCTGGGCCTTTCTGGGAGAAGTTACTGAGGAAGGGACAGTCTCCTCAGTCTTCCCTAAGATATACAAGTGTCTGGGAGTTTGTACTAATGTGGAGGTACAATGGAGGAAGCCAGTGGCGAGGAACGGGCAAACATAGCAACTGTTTTCACTCAAAGGCAACTGGGAACTGGTGCCTGAAAGGTACCCAGTACCATAGCTGTCCTTCCTGGCTCTACCTGAGGTCCCCCTGTCTCCTTAACTTTGTCCCTTTCATTGGTGCAGCTGCCAAGTCAGGCATACCACCTGGTTCCTGTTTCACACCCTCTGTGGCAATGAGGCCAGCAGGGGACCTGACTAAACACCAAGGAAGAGACCTCTGCCCCACCCCTTCAGGAATGAGGCTGCTAGTGAGCAGGACCTTTTCCCATCCACACAAGGCAGGAGGGGACATGCTGACCGGGAGGGCCAGCCCAGAACTCACCTCTGTGGCAATGACACATTCGTTCCTCTCTTCTGATATCAAACACACTGACTGGTAGATGGAGTCCCTGGGGGAGCATAGGGCTGATATTCGACACTCCGGCTTTTCACTGAGGGAACATAAGACAGGTGGGTAAGGATGAGGGGGGTGGGGGACTGGAGATGGGACGAGGTGTGCTGATCTCCATCCCAGAGAGTTAAAGGGTGTGTGCTGCAGTGGTCCAGAATGATGTAGGCGGGGAGTGCTCAATGCTGGCCTTCGGGGGCAGGTACTTAAAACAGGCCCCTGAGAAGCCAAGGGACTCAACTAAACCAGCAGTCACAGACCTAGAAAACGGCAGTATTGCCGCTAGAGACAAGCCGTACTGTGGAAAGATGGCGGATCAAAGAGATGCACTGTGGACAGTTGGTATTGGGGAGTGAAGAATGGATGAATGAGCAAGAGGGGCTTCCCTTGTCAGAGCTCCTTAGAAGAAGCCGGGCAGTGGTGGCACACGCCTCTAATCCCAGCATTCAGGAGGCAGAGGCAGGGGGATCTCTGAGGTCGAGACCAGCCTGGTCTACAGTGTGAACTGTTCCAGGACAGTTAAGGTTATACAGAGAAACTGTCTAAAAGAAAAAGTGTTACACTTGTGTGTGTGTGTGTGTGTGTGTGTGCACATGCGTGTGAATGTGTGCATGCCAGTGCACACTGCGGAAGTCAGAAGACAGCTTGCAGCAGCCTGTGACCTCCCTCTAACATGTGGGTACTGGAGATCAAGCCGGGGCCATCAGTCCCGGTAGCGGGTACCTGTACCCTCTGAGCCATTTCTTTTTTTGATTTGAAACACGTCACCCAGGTTGGCATCAAACTTGCCATCCTCCTGTCTCAGCCTAAGCAGCTAGGGCTACAAGTGTGTGCCACTGTGCCCGACTCCCTACAGAAATGCAATTAGAGTATCTTGCAGTCCAGTACCATAGCCCCTACTGGTTGAAAAGCAGCTAGGGTCTGATGCCAGGCTGCCACTCAGCCCGGGAGATCCCGTCAATCTATGTAACCGTCCACATCAAAGCCCGGGGCTTTCAAGTATGGCTTACCTGTGTAACCGAAGTGGCACCTTCTCCCCTAAGCTCTTGTCACTGTGGAGATACTTTCCAGGCATGGTCCCCCGCCCCAGGGGTCCTGGAGCCAGATTGTAGTCCAATGTATGGTTCTGCAGTTTGCCACAGTTAGACTTGTCCAGGCCACAGTCCACTTCCAACTCCTTCTTCTGGTTTGTGTTCTTGAGCTGGGCAGCCGGGATTAGGTTGTCCTTCTGGAAGTCTGACAAGTTGTTCATGGCCTCTCTGCTGCCATCATCGGGCCGCCGAAGCCGCAGCTGCCGCACGGCCACGGCCACCATGCCCAGCAACACCAGCAGAACCACCAGCCCCACACCCAGGGAGACGGCGACCCAGGGGAAGCTGGGTGGCAAGCCCACGGGAAACTCGCAGCGGCTGCCCACAAAGCCGTAAGGACAGTTGCAGACGACGTTGTCTGAGGAGAGGCCGGCGTAGCAGGTGGCCCCGTTGAAACAGGGCCCCGAGGCACAGGCGTCGCTGGCGATCCGCACCTCACAGCGCCTGCCAGAATAGCCAGCGGGGCAGGTGCACACAGGCCCATTCTCCAGATCGTGGCACGTGCCCCCGTGGGCACAGGGGCTTCGGGCACAGTCACTGATGTGGAGTTCACAGTGGGTGCCCGTGAATCCAGGACGGCAGCGGCAGGTACGGCTTGGACCTCTGTTTAGGCACTGGCCCCCTGTAAGGACATAGGGCCCAAGTCAGCAATAGCCTATAAATTCCCAGGTGAGGGGCATGGGGCCTAACCCATGAGCTTGGCCCTTCTACCCGCTATGTTCTGCCTGCATGGACAGAGCCCTCTATAAAAGGAACTGTACCAAGCCTCTGACTGACGTCCTGGAGTTGGGCCGACCCTGGTTCTCCATGCCTCCGTGAGCTATTGTAAATGTCACTGGCATCTTACAGAATTTGAGGGCACAACAGATACACTTGCTTTGCTCTCTCTAGCAGAGGATCTGACCCCTGATCCCTTAGCCTCAGTTTCTCCACCTGTTAAAGTTCCCAGGTAGCTCTGAGGCTCAGGTAGTGAAGACACCGAGGCAAGCACAGCCTACATAGAGAAGTACACTCATGTAGGTGCGATTGCCATTTAATTTCATCTTTGCAACCACACCAAAGACACTAAGTTACACCTTCTCATCCAGGATGACAGAACTGTGACTGGAGGGAGCTAAGTGAGTACATTACCACCCCCAGGCCCTCAGCAGCTCCCTAACGACTGCCTGCCTGCCTGCCTGCCTGCCTGCCTTATAGACAGTCACTTGTTGACCAAGTACATGAAGATTACCAAAGGGATTTGTATATCCAAAAGTGCTGGATAGTCTAGATATTTTGTGCCCCACTCACAAAATAGGGGAACGTGGAGAAAGACGAGGCCTCAAGGCACAGAGCTCTAAGCAGCTACTGGCTTTCCTGAAAAGGGGTGTGAGGCCTTCAGCATCCTTCTTTCTAATTCACAGCTTCCTGAGGAGGGTCACTTGGTAATCTTCATCAGATCAGGGCTTATCCATATAGGATGGGGCACTACCAGTCACCTGGTTCTCCTCCAAAGCGCCACCCCCAATTATGCAAGCTCTTCACCCTCCACAGCAAAGGAGAGCTGGTGAGTTTGCCCAGAGGAGGACAGGCCTCTCTCTTCTCCTGACTCTCTCTCAGGCGATCTGGCACCAGGGCCATTTCAGCAGGTTAGGAAGGTGACGGTAAGGACTCACCGTTGGCACATGGGCTGCTGGTGCACCTGTCCACTTTCTTCTCACAGTTGGAGCCAGTGAAATTAGGAGGGCATTCACAGGCATAACTGGCCCCCTGGTTGCGCTCCCGGCAGGAGCCTCCATTGAAGCAGGGTGAGTCAGCACAGGTCAAGGTACTATGTTCACAGTGCTGACCATAATAGCCTGGGGGACACAGGCAGTGGTAACCATCCTCCTGGTCCTGGAGAGAGATCATAAACGGGCTAAAGTTAGACCCTGGGGATGAGGCAAGGACATATGAGATTGGCAGCTAGCCTCTGCTTGCCCATAGTGCCTCTCCATGGATGCGTATCCATGGAGATACGCATGCCTGGATGCTACCTGGTTAGACCTCTGCCTCCCTGTGCTGCTGGCTCGCGTCTCACCTTACAGCTGCCGCCATTCCGACAGGGGTTACTGTCACACTTGCTGAGTTCCAGCTCGCAGTCCACACCAGTGTAGCCCGGGCGGCAGGTGCAGGTGTAACTCCGCTGCCCGCTGTTGGAACACGTTGCTCCATTCTTGCACGGGGAGTGGTGGGTGCAGTAATTGAGATCTGTGGAGGCAGGAGGCAACCAGCTGAGTGGGACCACGTAGCCTCCCACCTACAAGCAAAGTCACCCTGGGTTTGGCCCAAAGAAGCTTCAACTCAAAGTTTCCCAGGCCCAGGCATCCCTCTTCCTCTGTCGGTGAAACCATGAGTGTTTAAGTACCTTAGACCACACACAAACTGTACAAATATAGGAAAACTGAAAACAAAGCACAACTGGTCAGTGTCCTGCTGTGTGTAAGCTCACAAACACTGCCAGTCACGGCAGGATGAGGAGGAGAAGGAGGTGAAGCTAAGGCCCCAGCCAATGAGGAAGTCACAAAAGGCTTCATGAAGGAGGTGCAAGCAAAAAGGACCTAGATGAAGGAGTGAAATTTCAGCACGTGGAAGGAGTAACAGGGAGATGAGAACCACCACAGGCTGGACCAGGCATTTTCTGAAGGACGTGTTAAATGTGTATTTTGAATGATAGCTATTTATTTTCTTATTGGAGAAGAGCAAGGAGGGAGAGCCAGACAAAACAAACAGAGGGGGCTGTAGGGTTGTGTTTGCATACACTGAGTATATGACTGTATTGCCTGGGAGCAAATGTGGATGGCAGAGAGGAAGAAAGCAAGGGACCAGCTGTGTGGGTGTGGGTGTGTTGGGGACAGAAAAATGAGGGAAGTTCTGTGTGCAAGAGAAAGAGGGGGAGAGAGAGAGAGAGAGTGAGAGAGAGAGAGAGAGAGAGAGAGAGAGAGAGAGAGAATAAGAACATACAAGGACTGAATTCCATGCTGGCAAAAAGTCAGGGCATAGGCAAGCTTTTTCCAGCATGGCAACCCCCCTCCCCATCCTCTCCGGGCCTGTGCAGTGTTTCCATGGCAGCAGGCACAGTGCTTGACCCTGAAAACGGGAGGATGCAGCTGGGTACAGGGATGCAGAAGAAAAGGTTCCCTCTCTCAAGGCTGGGGCTCCTAGACTCCTGTGTAGGCAGAGGAGTAACAACCTTCAAATACCAGGGAGAGACTGCATGAGCTCAGAGAGCTGCCTGGCAAGTGTCGCCGGAGAAAGGCAGGTGGCTGTGCCCACACTAAAAAAGGCAGTTAGATGTTCCCTCCACCCAGAGGCCCAGGTTGGCCACAGCCCAGGGCAGCCAGGAGGCACACCCCACCAGACAGCTGTCTAGGGGAGAGCTGCTCAAACAGCCTTGGAAGGTGAGCAAACACTCAGAGGGTTAATAGGTAACTAAAGGCAGAAAGAGGAACAGAGCTCGGCCTCCGTTTCTCTTTGGTCTTGCTAGACTTTATGAGCATAAGCTCCAGGCTCCCAAGCTGTTACCCCTTGGGCCTCTTTAGTCTTATGTACTTGGAGAAGAATGTCCCACCATCCCATTCTAGGTCAGTTGAAAAGAGCTTTTAAAAGTACCAAGATTGAGCGCGGGTGTAGTTCACAGGTAGTATCGTGGTACCCCGCGTTCCATCCCCAACACCACACACATGCACATATACAAGTCCTAAGACCCTTGACCAGTAATAGGAAAGCCAGTCACCCATCACCAAGAAAGAGGGTCCAGTTGCTATCTCTAGTTTCAGCCCCTGCCACCCCATCTCTCCTTCCCTCACTCACCTTGGTCACAGAACAGACCTCCCCAGCCCTCTTCGCAGGTACACTGCCAGGGGCTGCTGCAGGTGCCATGACGACAGCCATTGTGGGGGATGCATTCATTGCATAGGCGGCCCTGCCAACCTGGACGGCAGCTATAGGGCAGAAGAGAAGCTGAGTGTAAGGTGGGAGGCCTGGTTACAAGGAAGAGTCCCCCTACTCCCGCTTCCTGTCCCCAACTTACAGGCATTCTGCTGGCTTGCTGCAGTAGCCATTCTGTTCATGACAGCCAGAAAGACAGATAGCTAAAAGAAAAAAGGAAATAGGGCTGGATGAGGTTCTGGTACCAAAGCCTCTGTCTCCCGTCCTGCTCTCCTGAGCTCACTTCCTACTATTGGTCTCCAAGAGGAGCCATGGTTATCTTAAAGGGAACCAGGGACAAGGGGGTGGGAGAGAACCATGCTGGACGAAATGAATAATAGGGATCAATGTGGGCTTATACCAGCTGGGGAGGAGGCTCTGAGTCCCAGGTTACAGCATCCCCAGGTGGTCTTGAGGCCCAGCTGGGTGGCAGCATAGACCCACTCCGAAGGGAAGCTGAGACAACTATCTAATACTTTCTTGGGGGGAAATCTCCTCCCTTCCATTCTGGTGGGAGCCTGGCTGCTTACGCTGATCGCAGTATTTCCCAGTCCAACCGGGCAGGCAGGACAGACTGCCATCTGGCTGGCACACGTAGTGTCCGAAGAGGTCATTGCGCTTCTTGCATAGGCGGGAACAGTTATCCCCATAGTAGTTGTCACTGCAGATGACCCGGTAGGAGTAGCGTAGTCTTGTGAGGGTGTCATTTTGCTCATCTGGTAGCCAATTCTGACCCACAGCAAGGGAGCCTTGGATGGTGATTTGACTGATAAGTGCATCGACTGGTAAAACCTCTGCAGGGAGAGCATCGGGTCAGAGAAAGACGGGCAAGCCTCTTTCGCCTTGACTCTGGCGGTCACTTAACAACCGGACCAGTTATCCCGATAACCCCACCTGCCAGCAAACACAGGACAGAGGGTCCCACAGTCTTGCTACTTAGCTTCCCTGGGTGTGTGCATGTGCAGGGGGCTTGATAGCATTCAAAAAGGGTACAATAGACGGATGTTAAGATATCCCAGGGTTGTGGAGGCAGATACGGAGGAGAAAGAGGAAAAGAGGTCAAAATGGAAAAAAAAAAATTAAAAGAGGGGAAGCTTTCTGATTCGAGATTTGGGAATAAGGGGTTCTTTGGTGCAGTTTCAGGGGTTCTGCTCCAGAGGTTGGTCATTTTTTTTTTCCTTTTCAAAGTGAGAATTGTTGTGCTGGTGAAATATCCTTTTCCTCTGTGTCAGAACAACATCCCAAAGCCATTATTCCCTTTCCAAAGGAGCGGAATTCGCAAAAGGTGTAAAATACAGGAAGGGGCCCGTCAGCGGCGCTGGCAGCCTCGGCCTTTCTCACCGCCGTGCTCCCCGCGTTCCCACGCCAAAAATAACCCGCAGGAAACGCAATTGTGCTCTGAGTCCAGGCAGCAAGCGGAATCCGAGCGTTCAGCGCGGGGCGCAGCTCCGGCCAAGCTAAGCGTCCTGGCCCCCACCCCCCAGCCCGCGGGCCGGCCCCCCCCCCCCCCCCCCCCCCCCGCCCCGCGCCTATAACAGGTTAACTCTTTCGGCTCCGCGTGATGTCGCCCCCCTGTGGCTGAGGAGTGAGATACTCACCTGGCCGCAGGTCGTCTCCTGGTGCGTGCCAAGCTTGGATGTTGAGTGAGAAGGTACCCTGGGAAGCAAAAGGGGGGTGGGGGACAGAGAGGTAGCGATATGAGCAGGGCGGGAAAGGAGGGAGTGCCTCGCGGCAGCCCGTTTAATTAATCTAATTGCGGGATACAGTTACCGAGCTCGGGTCAACATAACTGATGTTCGCGCAGTGCAGCGCGCGAGTTGAGAAGGCAGGGGAGGGATGTGGGATGCTGGAGTGTAAGTGAGAGCTGGGGGTGGGCGGGTGGTGCAGCGATGGGGTATTGGTAATGAAACTCCTATCCCAAGAACTGGGTGGAAGGAAGGGCAAGAAACTGGGAAGAAAGACTATTGAAAGCCCTCTCCGGGATGGACCTATGGAGGTGGGGGAGAGCCAGGGGCTCTCCAGGGACGCGCTTAGGAGACAGGATCTGGTTTATGAGCGCTCCCTTCTTTTGCCTTCGGTGATCTCCCAGTGCATTCAGGTTAAGCTTACCGGCCAGGTGAAATTGAAGGGCAGCTGAAGAGGGTTGCGACCACCGCCGCTATTCTCGTCCCTGACGACGAAGGAGTTGGTGCCCAATACCGGTGTGGAGACGCTGCCGAAGGTGCAGGGTCCCGGTGAGAAGGTTGCCTGGAAGTGCTTAAGGCAGATGCGGAAGAAAGTCCGGCAACCGGGCTCGCAGGGCCGCCCATTGGCCAGCACACCGCGCTCGTTGGCGAACTCCTGCAGCCGCAGCTGGAAGATGCCGGAGCCCGAGACGCGCTGCTGCACAGGGACCGAGAGAAGAAGGGAGGAGAGCGGTCAGGTTCAGCGGGCGCCGGGACGCAAGCCGGGAGCGCTGCGGGAGGGGGCGGAGAGGGCGCGGGACGTTACCTGCGGCCACAGTACCGCCAGCAGCAGTAGCGCCCAGTGAAAGGCGCTCCGGGACGCAGGCGTCATTCCTTGGGGTGTCCTCTCCACCCGGGGACTCAGAATCTGCTTGTTAGGGATGTCGCTCTCCCGGCACGTCCGTCTGCCAGTCGAGTTCCTGAAAAGCTGATTCCTCTCGGGACTCTGCCCCCTTGTCGCCTTCTCGAAAACTCCGCGGCTCGATGCTTCCGTAGGTAATCCAGGTGAAGACGACTGGGCGGTGGTCGCTCTAAGTATGTGTCCTGGAGCTAATCCTAGGGCCTTGAGCGGGCTAGTGTCGGGGTACACTGCACCCAAGCGGCTTCGGTTGAGGCTCTTGGCCTCGGGATCCTAGCCGGCGAGCAGCGCCGCTACTGAAACCTGCTCGCTCCGGAGCCTTTCTTATATATATTGGCTCCTCTTCGCAGCCTGGTCACTCTCCCCTCCCCTCCAGGCCTCTAGTGGCTACAGTCCCAGCACCCACCGGAGGGGGCCTCCGCCCCCGCCGCTCCCCCTGTCAACTAGCCAGTAGGGCGCAGGTCCCCGCCCCTCTTCCAACCTCTGGGCTCCTAGCTCTGCGCGTGCCCAGGGAGCAGTCCTCAGAGATCGGCTGGTTAAAGGCTGAGACCCTTGCCACCAGAGGGTAGGAGGGTAGCCCAGTGATGCGGCGGGAGGTGAGGTGGCTCCCGGATGGTCCTGGGGGTGGAAATTCTAAGGGGTCCCCGTAGGCGGAGCATCTGCTTCAGACATTAGTTACCTATAGTCCTTCAGCAGGTGGGAAGAACTTAAACCAGGAAAGCGAAAACCAGCGCCAGGGGACTTGGATCTCCCTTTCCTTCCCAGACATTAGGCAGGTCGCGCCTCGCTGGCCTCCAGCCTAGGAGCACCCACCCACCACGCGTCCTCAGCACCGCAGGGAAGCCATCAGACGCGTTAACCTTTCCGTGGCCATTCCAAGCAAGGCAAAGGGCCAAGCGTCTAAGACTCTGGTCTCCTCCTTTGCACCTGACAGGCCTGTCATTCTCAGCAGCGGGGCGTGCCCAGCGCGTGCCTTCTCTCTTCTCTCTCTTCTGTACTCCACCCCCACTACCTCTAGGCTCGTGCTAGCGCCTGGACTAGTGGTCCGAAAGGGAGGTGGGGGGCGTGGTTTTCGAAATGGTGTTGGGGGGTGCGTCCTCAGCTGTATGGTAATGAACTTCTGGTTTCTCCCTCAGAGCTACCTCACCTGGGTCGCGCCTAGGCTCCTTTCCCTATTCTGGCCCCCACCGGTGTCCCCCTAGTTCCGCTGGAGTAGGGAGGAACTTTCCTAACTCCGGAGTTTCCACGGGCCACTAAAGAGGCTAGGTGAGGGAACCTGAGGTCAAGCAGACCCAGCTCTCTCTGCATAGGGCAGGATGTAGGGTGGAACTGGAGGCGCACAAAGTTGTTTGAGTTTCGGGCGGCTTCACCCACGTCGCACGCGCGCCTCTCCCGGGTGGCCTCTGAGCGCAAACCGTGCAGCTGCTTTCCCAGAACCCGTCCTGCTCCCCGGAGGCCGCAGCTCAAGAAAAGCTGGCTTCTCCCAGTCTCGGGGGTGCTAGAGAACTCTCTCTCAGCTACACTGAGGGCGGTGGGGGCACTGTGGCTTCATCTGTCAGCCCGCCCGCGTGGTGATGGCTGGCTGTCCTCGGACGATAAGATCGAGGTGGGGGGGGGCGCGGGGACTCGGCTCCAGCCCCAGGGAGGCCATGGTAGGGGAAGAGGAGCCCAACAGCTGTCAATGACGAACATGGTCTGATTTTTTGACTTGGGTGGTGTTAATGGGGGGGGTGAGGAAAACATGAGGTTTTGAGCGTGGGGTGGGGGTGGAGTGAGGTGAGGAGACAGGCTCCGGGGTCCCCCACGCACGGCCACCCCTCCCAGCCACCATCTGGCGCGAGAGGGTTGGCGTGGGGAACCGAGGTGGGGCGGGGGCCGGCAGATGGGCCCAGGCTGCACTAGCGAGTTAATGTAGGTTATGGGCAAGCAGAGTCCCAGGCCCGAGAGAGGGGGAGCTCGGGGCGTACCTCGCGGCGGTACTGGCAAATGAACTTCCAAATCCTCACTCCGTATGCATCTTCTAAGTATCCCTAAATACTTAGGGTGTCAGAGGATCCTCCTGCTCTCTCTTTGGAGCTGGCCTGCAGCCCCACCAGGCTCTACTAGGTCTCATACCCCAATCCTAGCCCGGGAGTTCATTGACACGTGCTCTTTCTCTTTGGCGCTGGCACTTGCCTAACTCCCAAGGGAGACATCAGCTTCCACCCAGGCTATCTATTACTCTTGGAAGTGTTCTACCCTCTCATACATATTAATGTGCCAAAATATTTTGCAAATAGTCAAGGACCAAACAAAAGTTGGGATCATCGTTTTCCTCAGAAATGAGCAATGTAAGCCATCCACCTAAAAAACTTCTGACCCAGAAAGTAAAGCGTTACATTTCCCCCTTCATCAGAACACCTATTGGCAATATTCCTGAGGTTTCTTTTTCTTTTTTCTTTTGGTTTTTCGAGACAGGGTTTCTCAGTGTAGCCTTGGATGTCCAGGCTGACCTCAAACTCACAGAGATCTGCCTGCCTCTGCCTCCGAGTGCTAGGATTAAAGGCATACGCCACCATCTCCCGACTTCCTGAGGTTTCTTATCTGGCCACTCTTATCCCTGGGCCCTGATAGAGTTCCTATCTTCTGGGATCAAACCCACATTGCCAGGTATGAATGTGTAGGGAATGTTTCTCTAGGTCACACAACTGAAGCCCTTCTCTCCCACTCTCTAATTACGAGCAAAAAAAAAAGTCTCTTAAGTGGAAGAAAGGCAGCACCGTCCTAGTTATTCAAAGGTATGCAAGGTTGTGAGGATAGCCGTAGGCGACCCAGAGGATAGCAGGTCACTGGGAACCTGCTCTAGTCAGGGCCAGTTGACTCTGGCCCTGATGTAGACACTCCATAGGTCCCTTAGCCAGAATGAGCAGGGTCCCCATAAACTACAGCCCTTTCTTGGGTCCACAGCTTCTCCCAGAAACTCCACGGCATTTCCCAGCTCTGAAGTCCGAGTACTGGGGAAGCCAAGAAAAGCCTTTCTCCCTAGTTTTCTGTTTTTCCTGTTCCCTCCTCTTGGCCACTGTGCATGCCATTTCTCAGTTTCTCCAACTATGCAGAACCAACCCCTGGAATTGAAAAAAAAAAAAAAAAAGAAAGAAAGAAAAGAAAAGAAAGAAAGAAAAAAAAACGCTCAAGTTTTCTTTCAGCTGTGTCTCCAAACTGGCCGCAGGTTATTGGGGTGAGGTTTCGGGCCTCCTTCCGCTGCCTGTGAGCGCTCCGTAGGGTCACCAGCGCAGCTCAGAGACCTCCAGCGCGGTTTTAGCCCTCCTCTTAGCCGCTGCCCTTCCCAAGGGACAGCGGTCTGGACCCGACACACTGCATCAGAGTAGATGCGAGGTGGGGTCTGGGGCTACTGCGCCCGCAGGACAGGTTGGGGGCGGGGAAGCAGGCCTGACTGGGGCGGGGCACTTAAGCCTTGAGAGACCCTGCTGCGGTCGCTGCGGAGAAGGGGCCACGTGCTGGGAGCCGCGGCCGGGGAGCTGCACAGAAGGCGGGGAGATTTGCAAACTGTTGCTGCCACATGGCTGCTTCATTCGAACCATTCACATTGAAATGAGGCCGGCGCGTGCCTCATCTGCCGCAGGGCGCTGCCACGCGTCAGGCTGGCCTGCCGCGTGCCAACTGGGGCAGTGGGGCTGGCAGAGCCTGCCAGCCGTGGGGGCACAGCTCGGGCCCTGAGGCCAGGAGGGGATAAGGAAGGGAATTGAACTATTCTAGCCACTCAGGCGCCGCCGTTTCTCGGACCTTGGCCCTGCATTTAGTAGTGAACCGACAGAAAGGCCCAGGACGAACGGTTTCAGAGGGGGGCCAGGATCGATGCCGCCGCTCCCCGCAGATGCGCCCGGGCAGTGCTGCTCTCCATCTGCCGCTGCTCGCACCTGCCGGTCAATAAATCGATTTTACAATTTAATGCAGCAGCTTCCCGCCCGCCTCGGACAGATGCCGCCGCAGAAGCACCTCCGCCCTCTCCCCTCCCCTCGAGGGGTGCCAGCGGTTAGGATCTGGATTCCCGCTCAGCAGGCAGCACCCCGCAGCGCGGCGCACTTTTCCCTACTCCTCCGTAGAGAAACTGCGAAACTGCGTACTTCGAGTTTTCGCCCAGGGTCAGAGTGGATTCCCAGGAGAATAGGCCTGAGGCTAAGGGAGGAGAGAGGAAGATGATGATTTAGCATTGGCCTCGAGGACTGGCTGGGGGGACTTCAAGGAAAGAAACAGGATGTTGGAACTGATGATAAAACCGGAGGGCTAGGGAGAAAAGGGGGGCCTGGTATTCTAAAGTCACGTCGGGTTCTGATTTGAAGAGGACCGAGCAAGGCCGAGAATTGAAGCGGCCTGGGGTCTGGTGCATGAAGATGACCGCGACCTGGCCGTGTGTCCTGGGCTTGAAACTTAAGCAAGACTCTACACCTGCTTCTTTCCTGTGTGCGATGTGATGATAATAGTGACCTAGGAAGTAAAGGACTGCATTCGACTACGTATTTGCAAGACTCGAACGATCATTTAGTCCCTTTCCTTCCCTCTAGGCAAGGCGAAGACAACCAGAGGCCCCCCTGGGGGCAGGGCACAAAAGAGTTTCGGAGGTAGAGGAAGAAAAAAGACAGGGACACAGTCCTCAGGAAAGACGCATGAGGTGGGGGAGGGGAGGACAAAGTGTGAGAACTCTAGAGTTGGGGCCTTTTGTAGTGTGACTTATGGTAAAGGTCCTGACTGAACGACCTGGAGAACCGCTGTCTACCTTCCCACAGAGGCAGCCCTCCTGCTGAGGTGGTATTTCAGAGCAGTGACCTGCAGGAAGGAAGAGGCATCCCTGAATAGATCTGATCACTGAGTGTGCTGGCCACTCCGAGAGGCTCAGAGAACACACCTCCTGGGTCCAGTGTCCACTGGCTGATTGCTCTTGCTTGATGACCCAACATATGCCAAATAAAGGATACCCACATGGGCAGGATCACTGGGCATGGGGGAGTACTGCTTGGGCTTCTCGGAAGGCCAGGAAGACCTCCCATCTCCTCTTCCGTGGTCCCAGGCACCTAGGGCCTGGAGCAATTTCATACTGTCTCCTTGGCCTTCCTTCCCAGAGCACTCAAACAGATGGGGCCTGGGACAGGATAAGTGTTCTTTCTCAATAAGAGCACCTAGGGCTTGTAGAGACAGTAGGCTTCTTTTTAATTGTTCATGGTGAGTGAGAAGCTTTTCCCTCAGGCCTGCTGGGTACTTAAAAAGACAGGAGGGTGGCGGTGGACCATTAATTCCAGCACTCAGAAGGCGGCAGAGGCAATCCAATCTCTGAGTTGAGGCCAGCCTAGGCTATAGAGCAAGTTCCAGTACAACCAGG